AAGGTAGTAATCTATTAGAGTGAAAACCTCACCTATTGTAAGTACAATGTTTAGGTCATGTTTTGTTGTCTTTTTGTATTGTTACAGTTAATAAATATAATAAAGCTAAGAGAAATAAGATGAAATAGTTATCAAAAAGGAAAAATGATTGACAATCTTCATCTAAGAAATTCAGCCAACTTAAGACTATTGCTACTAGGTGTAAAAGAAAGAGAAATAAGATGAAAGAAATATTTATACTATTTACATTTGGACTATTGTCCTTATCTTTGTTGTTGTTACTACAACATTTCAGCCACTGAGGGCTACAGTCATCATTAGGTGTATATTGATCTGGGTAACCTATAGTGAATGCTGAATCAAACCCTTTGTTTAATCTACAGGAGGAAAAATGATAATAAAAGTGAACAGGACTGAGCAGAATTTGAATTTGGCTGGGTGATTTCACTTTCCATGACAATTATATATATATATATATATATATATATATATATATATATATATATATATATATATATATATATATATATATATATATATATATATATATATATATATATATATATATTTAGTGTATTAGGGCAGTAGATCATTATCTAAATATATATTGTTAAATATAACAGACAATGAATGTCTATTATGTCTGATTATGAGTTGTTCTAATGTTCAAATGTTTGCTTTAATATCAGGTGAAAATAAAGACAAAAATTTTTGAATATTTGGATATATTTTAAGTTGGTTCTTGATCTAAGCTTTCAGCTCACATGAGCCATCTTCAAAGTGGTTATACAGACATTTTAACAAAGATATTCACCATTGAAGATAGTATTTTGTTATGTTGACATAGGAAATTGCTATGTGACAAGAATGGTCGTGTAATAGCAGATGCAGGTCGTAAGTTTAAGATGCAGTTCTATGACATGATACCATACGAGAGGCTGAAATATTAACAACAGAACCATATGAAAGCTTAGATCAAAGACTAACTTAATAAAAAAATATCCAAACGTTGAACAATTTTTGTCGTCATTTTCACCCGAAATTAAAGCAAACATTCAAACATAACAGACATTCACTGTCTGTTATATTTAACAATATATGTTTAAATATATATATATATATATATATATATATATATATATGTCATTCACAGGCAGTATTGTTTTGCTGTATCACAGCTCCTCAGTGCAACTAGACATCCAAATGCCTCAAGCCAGGATTGAAACCCAACCCATTTGGTGGCAGTCAGAGTTTCTACCACATTAAACAAAATGAGCCAGTTAAATATAGCGTATTGTTTTTTTTATGAATGTAAACAAATGCCAATCAGCTATAGGGCTCTATTCATTTTACTGAAGAGCTTTGCATTAGCGCAGGTGGTATATATATATATGGATGGATACCCATCATATATATATATATATATATATATATATATGAAGTTGGTATTATGGATAATGTCTTAGAATGAGAAACTGAAGATCTGGGTTCAAATTCCAGTAAAGTATGTTACATTCACTTATGTGCAAATAGCTTTGGGAAAAGATATGAACCCAAGTCTTCTTCCCCTAGCTATTGGTAAATATTAGGACATTTTGGCCTATAGCCTTGGTTATCAACCAGTCTAAGAACAACTCTGAATTCATCCTAGCTAGGAGAGTGTTGACAAAGGGCAGATGAGCTTCTTATCGGAGACAATGGTCAATATGCAGCTAGGAGATGAAAAACTCCTGTTCAAAAAAGTCTTCAATGTTAGCACCTTATGATATGTAGAACACAGTGCACTAGTTCAAGATATGGTATTGTAATGGAAGGTGTGTGTGCATTTTATGGTAAAAAGCTCATTGACTTATTAAACAATTCACTTGCGCATGTTGTTTAGTAAAAACTTAAAATTTACTGAACCTTCACCCATTGTTCTCAAGGAGAGAATCCATCCATATATATTGCAATGGTTTGGTATAGCATAGTTGCCATAGTAATGACTTTTCCTTCACTTGTGTTTTTATAATTCTCATATGAAGTAGTGAAGCATTAACACTGATATATAAAAATGTCTTTTTAACTTCCAACTGGTTTTCATGAATTTTCATGATTTTTATCTATTTTACTCAGTGATATTTCACATCAGTCATTCATTATATACAGATGAGTGTGTGTGTATCAATTCACCTCACAATTCCCAAATCTTTCAGCATTTAGGGTTGATCCTTTCTAAATCTTTAGTTATATATAAATAGTTTATATTATTGGGTTTGAGGTTGCAATCTCATACAATGGCAGCCATTAAGAATACTGAGGCCATTTTGAATTCATTGAACAGTATCAAGAATTTCCTCTCTCTTTAATGCCAAAGGATACTTGTTGTTCTTGCCACATGACATCAAGATGATTACAATACCATACTAGTTTCAGTGTGAATCCAAGGAGAAACTCTTTGCGTTTCATGTCACATGTCATTTAAGTCATCTATTGTCACTAGCAGAAAGGATAAATTTCCTAGCTGAAAATAAAATAGCAGCAGAAGTCATGACGAGTTTGTTTCACTTTGTAAACACTACAAAGGGATGCTAAAATTTAACCTGAAAAACTTTGAAAAAGAAATTAACCACTACTAATTTTTCTAAAACTGAGGCAGTGTAGATAAAGTCATATATATATATATATATATATATATATATATATATATATATATATATATATATATATAGATAGATAGATAGATAGATAGATAAGTAGTGTGCAGTGAGTGCTGTTGGTAATAAAATAGTGTTTGATATATAATAACAAAGCTAAAATTTAAACTAATGATAAATTTATATTTTGTTCCTCACCATTTGGTACAATAGTTTGTACCAAAAAACATGTATATATATATATATACAGGAAAAACATGTATATATATATATATATATATATATATATATATATATATATATATATATATATATATATATAATATATTTATATATATATATATAAAAGAGAGAGAGTATATATGATATATAATCTATATATATATATATATATATATATATATATGTGTATGTCAGACTAATGCTGAGTAAATGAATAAAAATTCTATGTAACATGTTTTGTCCTTCAAAAGGTCATCATCAGACTAAAATAATGTTCGTATTGATGAAATTATATATATATATATATATATATATATATATATATATATATATATATATATTTAATATATATACACGTGTGTGTGTGTGTGTAGGGGAGGGAGCATATATAAATATGAAAATGTATATATATACATTTAAATATAAAAAAAATGTCAGATTTATACATTGAGAGGACCATTAAAAATGTAGTGATGCAAAACTTTAAATTTAACCAGAAATTTAAATTTAATGTTTAACAGCCCTACAATTCAAGTTTGGCTGTGTATTTTGGGGAACAATATTTGTAATCTTTTTATTTACAGAGAGTCACCCTTTTACAGTGCCCAGGGCCCACTTGAAGTAGAGGGTTACACTTGGAGGCCATTCATGCATATAGGTGAGGGAGATAACTATTAACCCTAGTCTTAAATAGTTTAAGATTGTGGTGATCAGGGAAACATCTTGTTGCGAGTTGATTATACAAAGCAGTGGTTCATGGGAAGAAGCTGCTCAAGTGAAACTTACTTCTCACCAATGGAATATGGAGGCAATGTGGGTGGGTTTGCTACTATGAAGTGGAATGGTGTGTTCTTGCAGTGAAGGTTTGCCTTAATGGGAATGTAGTTCATCAAAGCACTTTCCATAGAAGTAAGAGTAGAGCAGCAAGAGGCTTGCCACATCCTGCCTCTGGGAGAGTGGGTGAAGGATAGAGAATAATTTGTCACCCACAAGGGCTCAGAGATGCTTTTGAACTCTGTCAAGACTGTACAGTGAGGACAGCTCCTGTCCAGATATGACAACAAATATTCCATTTTTTGCCTGATCTGGTTCTTGTTAAGGAGGAGTCGGGTACTTAGTGGAGCAGGACAGGGAGCCGACCATTTTACTTGCCAAATCCTACAAATACAACAATTTCAATATTTGCAAAGTGTTTTAACAGTGGACAGAAAGTGTGACACTGAAATCCGATGGTATATTGGGATAGGGAAAGATACCTTTCCAAAGTTTAGCAAAATATCAAGAAATAGAAAAAATTTGTTTGAAAAAATAAAGAAAATATTACTGAACTGTTATGTAATATCAGTCCTCCTATTTGGTAGTCAATGTGGGAAAATTTCTTCAAAGATGAAGAAGGAACTTGAACCAACAGAAATGTGCTTCTACAGGAGGATCCTATGGACAAAACATGTGAGCAATGATGAAGTTTTAGAGAAAATTGAATCAAAAATGGACACTTATATTTAACATCAAAAAGAGATAGCTGAAATTTCTAGGGCACATAATGAGGAAAGAGGGCTTGGAAAATCTGATACACATAGGACAGATTGAAGGCAAGAGAGTCAAAGGAAAACAATGCATAACCTGCCTAGCAAGCTTGAGTAAATGGATGTCAGAACAACGTCTAGGAGAGATAACAAGATAGAATTTATAAAGAACTACAAAGGAAAGGAAATTGTGGAGTGCCATGATTGCCAACGTCTTGAAGGGACACAGTACATATGAGAAAAATTTCATAGCCATTATCAAAACCTTACAGACACTAACAAAATTAAAATGAAGATTTACTGTATAAATGAAAATTTCAAGTACTTTTTCATCAGCATTTAATATATTTTTAGAGTAATAATCAGAGGATAACAGTTCTTTGATTCTTAGAAATAAAACTTTGCAGGCAATTAGGAAATTATTGTTTTAAGCTTATTGTTTCCACCTTTAAATAAGAGCAAAGGGGAAACAATTAATATAATCACTGAATGCCAAAAGCAATTTCATTAAACCAGTGACTAATGGGGTTAATTGATAATACATGCACAAAATATAAAATGTATTATATCTGTTAACTTGAGATAAACAACAGAACGAAATATACAAAAGCTATAAATGCGGAGAATAAGGTGAGAATATGCAGTTGGAGAAAAATGAAAGGTGTGAGAATGATTTTTAAAATGTTAAGTAAAAGAAGAGCAATGATTAAAAACACAGAGTGCAAAGATGTAATGAAATAAAAAAAGGGGGAATGTAATGAAGATGGTCGTAAATGAGAGGAGGAGGAGATAAAAATAGGGATGGAAGGGGTTAGGAGAGACTCGACGAAGAAGTTTGGGGATGGAGTGAAAACATGCAAAGTTAAGGAATAAATATGATATCTAACAATTTCTTATGAAATCTAAACAAATTATTAGCAAACAAGAGATTTTCCTGAGAAACAAAGAAAAGATATCAGTATCAATCCTACAATATCACAGTGAATGCTGAACAGTTTTCTAACAGCTGAAAAGGGGACTTGAAGCAACAGAGAGATGGTTCTACAGAAGGATGAAGAGAATACCATGAATGATACATATGAGCAATAAAAATGTTTTAAGCAAAATGGGAATGAAAAAGAAACTTGTAATTAGAATCAGGAAGAGACAGTTGAAATTTCTGAGGCATATAATGAGGAAAGGGTACTTGGAGAATTTGACAATTACAGGATATATTTAAAGTAAGAGGGTGGAGTGAAACAACAAATAAACTACATAATGATCTTGTGTACAAAACAGGGAGTGGGAGGAGTAGTAAAAAGACAAACATTGCTAAGAGCTACAATGGATAGGAAGTTGCGGAGATCCATGATCACTTACATTTAAAGGGATATGCATATAAAAGAAGAAGCACAAACCAATCTTTGTACTTTTAACCATTATGCCACTCACAATTTATTGTATTTTTTCTTTTTTTGTATTTTATTTTCCTTTTACAGTCTTCTCCTACTTAATTTAGTTCCCCTTTCCTTTTTATCACCTGCTTTTTCTCTCCCACTCTCTTGTTTTCTCTCTTTCCACCTCTATTTCTCTCTCTTCCCTCTCCCAACAATTAACTTTATTTCTCTTTTTCTTTACTACATTCAATATTATCATCAACCAATATTTAATCTTTCTTTCTTTCTTTCTTTCTTTCTTTCTTTCTTTATATTTACCTATTCTTTTACACCCACTTCATGTTGTCTTTTTCCCTTTTTCACCTCTTGTCACAATGTATCAAAAATTCCTTGAAAATTTCATTCATCAAAATAAATAGAAACAGGTAGAGAAAAAAGACAAGATGGCCAGAGACAAACATTGAGTAACCTACTTGGTGAGCTTGCATAAGTGGATGGTAGAACAAGGACTGGGAAGGATAGTAAGGAGACAAACATTGCATAGAGAGTTACAAAGGATTGGAAGTTGTGGAGAGCCATGATCATCCTACCTAATGAGCTTGTATCAATGGATGGCAGAACAAGGACTGCGAAGGATAGTAAAGGACAAACATTGCATAGAGAGTTACAAAGGATTGGAAGTTGTGGAGAGCCATGATCATCCTACCTAATGAGCTTGTATCAATGGATGGCAGAACAAGGACTGCGAAGGATAGTAAAGAGACAAACATTGCATAGAGAGTTACAAAGGATTGGAAGTTGTGGAGAGCCATGATCATCCTACCTAATGAGCTTGTATCAATGGATGGCAGAACAAGGACTGCGAAGGATAGTAAAGAGACAAACATTGCATAGAGAGTTACAAAAGGATTGGAAGTTGTGGAGAGCCATGATCATCCTACCTAATGAGCTTGTATCAATGGATGGCAGAACAAGGACTGCGAAGGATAGTAAAGAGACAAACATTGCATAGTGAGTTACAAAGGACTGGAAGTTGTGGAGAGCCATGATCATCCTACTTAATGAGCTTGTATCAATGGATGGCAGAACAAGGACTGCGAAGGATAGTAAAGAGACAAACATTGCATAGAGAGTTACAAAGGATTGGAAGTTGTGGAGAGCCATGATCATTCTACCTAATGAGCTTGTATCAATGGATGGCAGAACAAGGACTGTGAAGGATAGTAAAGAGACAAACATTGCATAGAGAGTTACAAAGGATTGGAAGTTGTGGAGAGCCATGATCATCCTACCTAATGAGCTTGTATCAATGGATGGCAGAACAAGGACTGCAAAGGATAGTAAAGGCACAAACATTGCATAGAGAGTTACAAAGGATTGGAAGTTGTGGAGAGCCATGATCATCTTACCTAATGAGCTTGTATCAATGGATGGCAGAACAAGGACTGTGAAGGATAGTAAAGAGACAAACATTGCATAGAGAGTTACAAAGGATTGGAAGTTGTGAAGAGCCATGATCATCTTACCTAATGAGCTTGTATCAATGGATGGCAGAACAAGGACTGTGAAGGATAGTAAAGAGACAAACATTGCATAGAGAGTTACAAAGAATTGGAAGTTGTGGAGAGCCATGATCATCTTACCTAATGAGCTTGTATCAATGGATGGCAGAACAAGGACTGTGAAGGATAGTAAAGAGACAAACATTGCATAGAGAGTTACAAAGGATTGGAAGTTGTGGAGAGCCATGATCATCCTACCTAATGAGCTTGTATCAATGGATGGCAGAACAAGGACTGTGAAGGATAGTAAAGAGACAAACATTGCATAGAGAGTTACAAAGAATTGGAAGTTGTGGAGAGCCATGATCATCCTACCTAATGAGCTTGTATCAATGGATGGCAGAACAAGGACTGTGAAGGATAGTAAAGAGACAAACATTGCATAGAGAGTTACAAAGGATTGGAAGTTGTGGAGAGCCATGATCATCCTACCTAATGAGCTTGTATCAATGGATGGCAGAACAAGGACTGTGAAGGATAGTAAAGAGACAAACATTGCATAGAGAGTTACAAAGGATTGGAAGTTGTGGAGAGCCATGATCATCCTACCTAATGAGCTTGTATCAATGGATGGCAGAACAAGGACTGTGAAGGATAGTAAAGAGACAAACATTGCATAGAGAGTTACAAAGGATTGTAAGTTGTGGAGAGCCATGATCATCCTACCTAATGAGCTTGTATCAATGGATGGCAGAACAAGGACTGTGAAGGATAGTAAAGAGACAAACATTGCATAGAGAGTTACAAAGGATTGGAAGTTGTGGAGAGCCATGATCATCCTACCTAATGAGCTTGTATCAATGGATGGCAGAACAAGGACTGTGAAGGATAGTAAAGAGACAAACATTGCATAGAGAGTTACAAAGGATTGGAAGTTGTGGAGAGCCATGATCATCCTACTTAATGAGCTTTTATCAATGGATGGCAGAACAAGGACTGCAAAGGATAGTAAAGGCACAAACATTGCATAGAGAGTTACAAAGGATTGGAAGTTGTGGAGAGCCATGATCATCTTACCTAATGAGCTTGTATCAATGGATGGCAGAACAAGGACTGGGAAGGATAGTAAAGAGACAAACATTGCATAGAGAGTTACAAAGGATTGGAAGTTGTGGAGAGCCATGATCATCTTACCTAATGAGCTTGTATCAATGGATGGCAGAACAAGGACTGTGAAGGATAGTAAAGGCACAAACATTGCATAGAGAGTTACAAAGGATTGGAAGTTGTGGAGAGCCATGATCATCTTACCTAATGAGCTTGTATCAATGGATGGCAGAACAGAGGCTGAGAAGGTTAGTAAAGGGACAAACATTCTACAGAGCTACAAAGGATAGGAAGTTGTGGAGAGTTATGATCGCCCATGTTCTCAAGGGACATGTCACAGAAAAAAAATTACTTTGTCTGAAATTAACTTTTAACAAAATCAGATAATTAAACCCTATTTTTGGTTTTTTGTTTGGGAGTAATTTCAAATTAGTTTAGGTTATGTACAGCCCAGTTCAGCTATTGACAATCATGCTTGCCTTTGGATGAAGCAGGCTAAAATTGTACTGGTGTATTTGTGTTTGGGCATCTGCACCCCAAATAGAACTGGAAACTGCCCCATGGCATATAATGGGATGTGGTCAGGATGACACACTGATATCTGCTTCAATGGCTGAAGGAAACTGCATTATTTCAAAGTGAACTGCCATAAAATGCAAATTTAATTCATCTGTCATATGTATGCATTCACAGATTCAATAAGTCTAAAAATACAAATTGCCTTTTTTCAATAGATACAACTGTTCAGTATCTAGTAGACTCATGGTGGAGTGATTAGAATGTTAGTGTTCTAACCATAAGGTTCAACTCATGACCTAGAGTTTCAGCATACCAGTCTTGTTCAAAATGTTTATCATACCAGATTATGCATTCCCTTATAGAAACTGTAACTAAAGTCTGCTGAACATTGTTGTAGAATAAACCACAGGTTGTCTCTGTAAGTGTGTAAGTGTAAGTGGGTGTCTGCAACATAGATTACCAAGCCACACTAACAGTCAGGTTTATTCAGAAAACAAGTAGTTAACTATTATATAACTCTATTCAGTCTAGATAATTACCTTTTTCTTTAATCATTTCATCTCCAAGCAAGGCAATAAATCCACTAAGTCACAAAGGTTTGCTGTGTATGAGAGAATACAAGACAAAGAAAAGATTATTAAGGAGAGAGAACAATAAAAAGTAGTAATTAAAAATACCGAAGATAATGATTGACATTGCATTTAAATTTTTGAAGATCAAAGTTGACTGGAAAGCAAGAAACTAGAAGAGAGTTCCACAGTTCTACATCTGGCCATTTCAATTGTAAAATGATGAAACCTTTCTGCCAATCTAGTACTTTGCTTAAATTCATAAAGTCTAGGTACCATAGAAGTAAGTTTATCAGAACAATTACCATGAAAGTATTTATAGAAAAGGTACAGGTCAGCTATATTACAGTGAGGGGAAAGCAACTGAAGCTGAGATACCAGTTCAGGACCAATAACATTATAGTTTTTTTGGATTTTATCAAGAATCTCTAAATCTATAGCAATTAGTTTTGTCTTTCTCTTCAAACAAAGCAAGATAGAGTAAAAGTATGACAAACAAAATCTGTTCATCAGGCCATCACCTCTTTATTGCATTGAAAAGTGGAGTAAATGCTATACTCTACGGTGGGCTATTTTTGAGGATGCACAATGATTTGTGACCTAATGAACAGGTATATATCGATTCTACTGCATTTATCTTTGTTGGATGAATGATAGATACCAGAATGATAGATAATAGTTTGCTACTCATTGGACACTAACCAAAACAACCTTTTGTTCTATCTGTTATCTTCTTGCTACATGTCATACCCATCTTCATTTTTGTCATTTAATTACTTCTATGTTATCTTTTACCTTGCTCTGTTTTCTTAACCATTTTTGGCCTCTTCCTCTCACTTTAAGTTATCTCCAGCATTATTCTATTAATCTTTATGCTCTGAGTTTGAGATCAATTGTTTGTAGTTTTCCATATTTATACCCATATATTGTAGCTGATGTTATAGATTCATTATACTCTTTATTTTTTATGCATATTGTTAGGGCACTATTTTTTATGTCTCTATTTTTAAGAGAGTAACAACACACTTCCATTCCTGGATGTTCTAATATCTCAAACAGAGCATGGGTTCAAGACATCCGTATACCGTAAACCAACATTCACTGGACAGTACCTCAATTTCAACTCCCACCATCCATAGAGTGTAAAGAAAGGGATCATCATCCGCTGCTTACAATACCGAGCAAAAGTCATAAGTGGCGACCTAGAGACATTAGATAAAGAATTGGTTAGTATAAGTGGTACCCTACTATGTAATAACTACCATGAGTACATGGCAGCAGCCCCCAAAAACTGGTATAGGTGGGTACAAGAGGAGGACAACAACACTCAGAAAACAGTCTGCCTACTTTATGTGAAGGGGTTATCAGAGAAAATACAAAGGATCTGCAGTCCATATAACATCAGGACAACCTTCAAAAACTTGATGACACTTCACAGATATCTCTCCTGAGTAAGACCTCCCCTATAGAGGAGAACATGACTAAAGACTGTGTGTACGCTATTCCATGCATCTGCAGAAATAAATATAAAGGGGAGACAGGCCACCCCCTTAAGGTAAGGCTTCAAGAACACCAGAAAGCTGTAACACAAGAGGAAGTGGAAAAATCAGGCATGGCTGACCACATATAGAGAGAGAAGAGAGATCACCGCCCTCTGTGGGATCAGGTTGAGATCATAGACAAAGAACACCATTGGAAAATTCATAAACTTAAGGAATCAGCACATATGCTAGGCCAAAAAATCTCCTGAGTTGACTAAGCATAAGAAATCAGTAATAAGGAGTGCCAGAGAAAAACAATAATAACAATGAAAATTGCAATAAGAGCTCTGGTAAAAAATAGTTACTGAAGACATTAGGTTTATAATACCCAGAAATTCATACACAGATGTCCTCAAGGACATATGGCACAGTGGCGTTAGTTAGATCCCAAAGTGTTAGGACCCAAAGTGTATGAGTTCAATACCCAGCTAAGGCAGTGGAGAACTTTCAGAAGGAAGTTAACATGAGATAACTGATAACTGACATCCATTAAAACATGGTTCATGGAACTAGAACAGTCTACCCCATTGAGTGAAATAAAGGGTTCAGTTTGACATTCCAACCACCTGAAGAAGTTTGGAGAGTGTACAACGGCTGAAACATTGTAATAAATATGGCAACAAAGATGAGGATAACAGTCCAAATAATGTCTCTATTTTTGTTAAATGCTTTCCATTATATTGTTAGGCATCATTTTATTTCCTTTTCATGGTCTTTCTTTAATGTCTGGCCCCAGGTAATTAGTAGGTAGCTGTCATGTCACTTTTCCATTATTAGCAGCAAAATTAGCACCATTAATAGGTGTTTAGTAAAAGGATTGTTAAAAAAGATAAAAATAAAAACTCCAAGGAAAAGGTAGGCATAGGAAAGGATAAGGCCTGATGCCTGGATTTAATATTATGTGCTAATTCTTTTTAACTCTTCATGTAAAAAAATGAGAGATAATCCTGAGCTAAGCTATTTATTTAAAGACAACAATAATAGTCCAAGCCACTGAAGAATTAATCTTATCCAAATTCTGGTGGAGGATATATTTTTCTGCACGGAATCATTATTGTCCCAGACTTACCATCATGACTACTACTGCTGTTGCTACCAGACAATGGATTGTGTTGTCCTCTTCTATATAAAAAGAAAATAAATTCCTACATAAATACAAATCTGGTTATTGATTTCTAATAAATTTATTTAAATTATTTCATTTTTTCAATGTTTACTTATTTTCCTCTTCTTTTTCATTGTTCATATTTCTTTCTTTCTTTTCTTTTTTTTTTTTTTGCTGCCATCCATTTTTCCTCATTTCACTCAATCCTCTTTAATTTCTTTCTTATTTCTCTTCCTCTTTCTCTTCCTTGCTTCCATTATTCTTTCATTTATTCCTTTGTTCATTTCTTCCTTTCTTCCATTTTCCTTTTTCTTACCTTCTTATCTTTTTCTTCTTCCCTCTTCTCTTTCCTTTTTCCTTTCTTTTTTCTTTCTTCTCTCCTACTTATCTTTTATTATTTCTCTTTTTTCCTCCTTCCAACATTGCTTTCACATTCTCCACCCTCCTTTCTTTCCTTCTTTTTTCCTCTTCCTTCTTTTCTACCTTCTCTTCTTTTCTTACCCACTCTAATTGCCATCCCTATCATTTGTTTTTTCTTTACTTCCTATCCTTTCTTCACCCTTTCCTTCTTTCATCTCTTCCCCCTTTCCAACAATTCCTTGTTTTCTTTCCTTCCTCCTTTCCATCCTTCCTTCTTTTCTGTCTTTCCTTCCTGCTTTTCAACTTTCCTTCATTCCCTTCCTTCCTTCTCCCTTCTTGGTCTTCCTTCATTCTCTTCCTTCCTTCCTTTGTTTCCTTCCTTCCCTGCTTTACACCCTTCTTTTGTTTTCTTCCTTCCTCCATTCTTTTCTTTTCCAGCTCCCTTTTCCACTCTTTCTTCTTTTCCTTCCTTCCTTCATTCCCCCCTCCTTTCTGCCATTCCTTCATTTCCTTCTTTCCCCCTCTCTTTCCTTCCTCCTTTCCTCTAATTTTTCATGTCCAACTCTTATCTATTTGTAAGTATTTTCCTAAATTAAAATCTTTGATTATTATTTCCCATTATTATTTTTTTTCTTAGAGTTTCAAACATTATTTTTTTTACCATTTCATCTTCCCTGTTTGTTTGTTTTGAAATTCTCTTCATCTCTTTTAATTCTTCTGATTCTCATCTGTACTTAAATGCATAATCTTTTCACTGGCAAGCAACAAGAAAAATACCAACTTTGGAAGACTGCATATTCCAGTCAGAAATATTCCCAGGTTTTGAATCAATAGGATGTTTAGGATTAATTTTTCTTTGGAATGTTTTTTGGTTTTTGTTTACATGCAGGAATAATGAAAATTCTTCAAGATGTGAGATTAGACTGAGCATAAATTCAATTCTTTGAAAAATTAAAGAAAAAATTATAAATGCCTCAAAACAAAATAAGAAATAAAACATAAAGACCAAAAGAGCAGGTTCTAACAAACAATCTCAAATTGCTTTTCAAGTTGTCTTTCTTTTTTCCTTTCTTTCTGAAACTAGAAGCTGATACAGAAATAAAAGTGTACATCTTTATCAAATGTGTTTATTATTTAACTCTTCTCTAAAAGATCAAAGCAATGAGAAGGGGAGATAACTACATAGTTATTCTTCAATAATGTGTTTTCTTTTATTATTATTATCATTGTAGATTTTGATTATGGAATGAGAAAATACATTGAGTTATTTCATAACCCGATTATTTCAGAATATATAGACAGATCTATACATCTCATGAGCACAGACACATCCGTGTATGTATATATATGCATGAAAATCTATCTATCTATGTATCTATCTATCTCAGTCTATTCTTATCTATCTCACTCTATTCATATCTGTCTATCTACCTATTTATCTAGCTATCCATTTATCTATTTGTCTCAGTCTATTAATATCTATCTATCTATCTATCTATCTATCTATCTATCTCACTCTATTTATATCTATCTATCCATCTATCTATTTGTCACAATCTATTAATATCTATCTATCTCAGTCTATTCTTATCAATCTCAGCCTATTTTTATCTATCTGTGTACATATGAACTATGTAAAATATTTCTGTTTTATATAGTTCGAATGTGACACAAGAGTAGCAACATTCTTTGAAATATTTTCTATTCTGCTCTAATTGGTGAATTTTTCTGAATAGCACAATCTACACTTGAATTAAGTGACTTGATATGAAAGGTATGAAAATTGAAGGTGCAAATGACAGAGTCTGATAAAGATACCTGAAGTCTATCATCCTCAATCTTCCTGAAGCTTTCAAACACTTTTTCCTTTCCTCAGAGATAAATTGATATCATTATTTTACACCAATAAAATATAACAGTCCTTTCCCATTTCACAAACAACTTCTTGTTCTACAACATGGCCTAATAAACAAAAACGGAGGCAATGATATATGATGGTTCACCTATTCCAGATATAATTGCTGGCCATCTATGGATATTCAAATCAAAGTGGTTGAAATTCAGATGTAGCTTTTGAATGGATAAACTGCCACTATCTAACTAATCTTATAGACCCTGAATATGATAGAACTGTCTTAACTCTCAAACTGTTTTGAATTTCATATATATTTGATTTTGAGGGACACATTGTATGCTGTTATTTTTCTGCTTTCTCATAAATGTAAATATAGATTTGTCAAATGATAAAAACATCATCAGATTAGTCAAAAATAGGAATTGATTTCTGCAATTATGTATTACAAAAAGTGTCAAAAATACTATGTTGACTAATATATATATTCAAACAGGTTTGGTTAAATAATTTAGACATATCATGTCGATTAGTTTTTGTTGTGATCCTTTCAAGTTCACAGATTAATTTCTTGGTAGCCTTAGAAAATTGATTAAGAAAAATACCAAAATTTTCTTTCAAATAATTTTTATTTTCCAATCTCATTTGAGACCGTCTTCAGGGGGTTAAGTTGTCTGCGAGTATGTATATGTGTTTCTGTAAATTCAAAACATTTCAACTGTTCATTTTTACTGCTTATACAGCATTCTAGATTTCAAAGTTCACATTTTTTTTTCCAATATAAGGGAAGTAACTTTTCCATTTTTGCTCAAATATAATTTCTTTTTTTTTGTTGTTGTTTATAAGCATAATTATCCCAAAATGAAGAATACAACTATACTTTTGTACTGAGCCCTGTTTTAAATTAATGTTACAAACATTGGAATTTATATTTGATTTGTTCCCATTTCATATGGATGTACAACACACACAGACACACACACGCACACAGACACACACATACACACACACACATATATGTATATATATATATATATATATATATATATATATGTTGTGTGCAGAGTTGTGTGGAGAGGTGTGGTGATTTAATAGTTACCAGCACTCAAAATTATCGTGTGTCTGCTTATCTTTCTTTTGTAGTTAATACACATGCAAAGGCATGAATATCCATTTCCTGCAAAATGCCACAATGCAGATATTTTTATAAAGTACTGCATCATTGGCATTCCATGAAAATTGACAAAAGGAGGAAGTGGAAGAGTGAGAACTTAGACAAACCACCTACCCATGACTACCTTATTTAGCTAAGCAGTAAAATTCTTTTTTGTCCATATTTAACTTTGATATAGATGATAGTGATAGTGGTGAGGAAGAAGAGTATGTATATATATATATATATATATATATATATATATATATATATATATATATATATATTATAAAATTAACTGATTTAAAATATGTTTTTTTCAATACACAGTTCTAGCCATGTTTCAAAAATGGAAGCTAAAATCTTTGAATTTAATTTTGTAATTAAATTAAAAACATTAGTTCCATTACATCATCAAAGTTTGCTTGAGGATGAAATGGAACTAATGTTCTTAATTTAATTACAAAATTAAATTTGAAGCTTTTAGCTTCCATTTTTGAAACATGGTTATTACTGTGTAGCGAAAAAAAACACATTTTAAATCAGTTAATTTATAATATTAATGCTCTATAAATTTACATGGGGCACTATTTTGTAAAAATAAAAATATCAATAAGAACACCACATTATATATCTTACTGTTCTTTCTTTATATATATATATATATATATATATATATATATATATAGATAGATAGATAGATAGATAGATAGATAGATAGACAGAGAAAGAAAGAAAGACAGAGACAGAGAAAGAAAGACAGAGACAGAGAAATAAAGTGGGCATATGAATCAACACTGCATGGTGACTGTTAGTTGCAAGCCTCAATGCAATATCATAATGTGATATCATATTGAGGTGTTTAACTGATAGTCAGTATACAGAGTTGATTCAAATGTCTGTATTGTAAATGCTGTGTTTTTAATACTGAGCACTCTTCCCCTATACATAGCAAATTTTAAACGATGTATATATAAAACAATTTGAAAATCTCTTCTTTTGACATGTTTTGTTGATCAATCAACATTATCAGAAAAATGAACTTTATTTTAACAAAATTTAGATTAGCAAACAAAACATATTTCACTATAAACAGATGGATACTTGAATTTTTATGTTAGCTTTATTGTTTTTTTTATATTAGATTTTACTTATTTTATTTGTTTATTATTTATTTATTTATATGTTCTACAGTTTTTGTACACCCCCGCCTACTGTTTCAACAACAATTTAGCAATTATGTAAGTTTAGTTGAAGACCAATGAAAGTTTTTGATTAAGATTTCTTACTTAATACTTCTATATTTTTTTTTTTGTTTCCTGGAAGAAATTGAACATAAGCTGTCCAATGTCTTCTGTGTGCTTTCTGTTTTCATTCAATTTATGTGTGAACAATCAGTCGTCCTTGTTTAGAAAGATTCCATAAAGAAAAATCAAATGAAATCAACAAAAGAATACACACAAAAAAAATACCAACTTTTCAGGAATTTTTTTCATAGACAAATGCTGTACTATAAGGAATAGACCAAAGACTTTTGGTGACTATAGGCACAAACTGCCTTCACAATGGCAGTGTGATGTTTTGAGGTGGTAAAACCATGACAAATTCCAAATTGTCTGACATTGACAGCAAAGACATGCACTGATCATTCAAATGCATGCATAGATCTATAGTTCAAAAAGAATTCAAACACTTTCCAAAAAATGATGCATTTGTTTATGCTGGACAATGCTCTGTCATATTCAGTGATGAAAATTAATGAATATTTGAAACAGAATTGGTTTCAGAGACATTTCTATGAAGTGCCTGAATAAAAATGGAGAAAATACACTTGTGTGCATGCAAAAGAAAGTATTAAAAATGAATAATTGTGTGGGTGATACACATGTGTGTGTGACTGTTCCACAACTAAGGGGAAAGATATCCCCATGCCTGGGAACAAGATCCAGGTGGTTTGTTACTAAAGCTTCATGGGAGGAAAAGATAAAGAAAAGATAGAAAGACAAAAAGTGTCCTATTTTTAATAGCTGCTTCACTGCATCCTCTAACGACTTCTTGGCAAAAGTGTTGAAGCTATGGAATCCTCCACATTTACCTGTCACCCCCTATGGGAAGATGCACTCTTCCCCAAATAAACCTCTAACCAATCACCACTTTACTTTTCCAAACTCAATCCCCCATTGGTTAAAAGGCCACTAAAATGTAGCAAAGTTGAGACAAACCTTTTTCCTGTGCAGGTCTCTGGAGCCTATTTGGAAACTCAAAAATCTATTAAAAAAATCACTCAACTTAATTCAAGTTAGTCAGACACTGAGTTTCAAGAGATATTAGCAGACTCCACACATACCAACACACTGATTCAATAACCACTACCAACCCTCAACAACTCAACCCAACTCGCACAACTATTGAAGAAACTTAACTTACAATTTACTAAAAAGTGACATTATCACTACAAAACAGTAATTGTACATTCAATCAACTTTAGCTTATCAGTTAAAGGTGAACAACTCTTCATAACTTAAATGAACACTAGCAGTTGTCACACACATACACACTATCACTTGAACTAACACAATTGACAATTTTCCTTGCAAATATCAAACTATCTTAATTCCACAAACAAACTTAAACTATCAACCTTTACTCACTAAATTTCTGCATGAACAATCTTTGTAATCTTATCTCACTTGCCACATTTATCAAGCAATTTATTATCACTTTGTGTATGTCAAATATATATATGTAAATTCACGTTATTGTTGAAATCTCTAATAACGTTGTTTTCAGTAATTTCTTGAAGTTGAATTGTCTATTTATTTTTGTTTGCTTTATTTGTTGTGGATAAATGTATTACGATCCCACACATTCCTGGCCTTCACAAAAAATCACCTTCTGATACATCTTCTTACTCAGCATAGATTCTGCAACAAAGCTATGTAGGGGTAACCTGCATCCACTTTTTTGATTGGTCAGGTGCTAAAGTCTTTGTTAATATATTTAAAATGGATGTGCAAATAATTGCACAGTCTTGAAACAATTATTATCTCACACAGAGATGATGCTTCCAAAAACATCCACCAAATTAACTTTAATGATAAAAATAAAATATCAAGACTACATTTCATATCTATTTTTTCTTCTGTTCTGGGTTATCAGTTATTAAAATATTCAATCTTACGTTTTTAAAAAAATTCTGTCTTTTATTTTATTTATCTATTTATTTTTCTTTTTAAGGAAAGTCATTCTCAGTATAAGTCAAATTGACTAGTGGGTTGGGGATGTAGGCACTGGTGGACTTGGAGTCTACCAACTTTTTATAATCAGATATACTTGGCTTAACATACATGTAATTTTTTTCATCTTTGATTTACTAGATTATCATCTTCTTAAAGCTTACTGGAAGCTGGTTTCTTTATGACATAATAGACTTGTTACATTTAGTTCAAATAAATTAAGGGAAGACTTTCATTTTAAAGCTTATTACACTAACATAACACAGTTGTTTCAATACAGGCAATTTATACAAATTTCATTAAGGATTAATATTCCACAACTT